TATAGAGTTTTTGGTACTCTCAAAGCATGGTTGTTTGCTTGCAGATATTTCATTACCTACTAGGTAACATCATCAGTGCCAGTACTGCTAATTAGTATTGATTTTCTGTTATCATCAACAAGTACATAAACATATTTGCTTCCTACGGCAGTCCTTTTATTGTTTATGTAAATGTACAGTACATAACACATATACATTAGTGTGTGTGTGTGTGTGTGTGAATTGAATACTGTAAATTGAAAGAAATCTCATCCCAAGAAGTTCCAGACAGAAAAGAGTAAAAGTTAAAGAAAAGCTTATATCTGATCTGTCAGTCCAATCTAAAACTGTCAATACTGATACTAGCCATTGATCATCAGAGCCTGGAAAAGCAAGCTCTGAAAAAACAATCAGCAGCAAGAAAATTCCGCTATCAGATGAACTTAAAAAAAGAAAGAATATAGCAGCTGTGTTTTGTCTTTGTTTTGATTTTTTTTACTCCTAAGAGGAAGAAACATTTCTCCTACAGATGGATAAATGCCAGATAAAGAAAAAACCTGAATCCAAAAATGCTGGATTAAAGATAGAATAATAAGTAAAAAGCTGGCTCTAAGGCTATATGAGAAATTAAATTTATATTTAAATTTAAATTAAATGTATATTGAAAAATCATCTGAGTTGTACTGATTTATTTGCCTTTGTTTTCCTATTTCTTTGTTTTTGTTCTTTGTGTATAATCTTGTCTGAAAAGCAGTCAGTTGAGACAAATCTCTTCAATTTAGTTGTGCCATTTTTATTTTTGTTTTCATTTCTCCCTTTGACTTTCACTCACATTAATTGCCTAATCTTGTTATCCATAATAAAAGATTTGAATTTATTTACTGAATCAACCCACTCATTCTGTTACATTGACCACCAGGAGGCACCGTGTGACTGGTTTCATTCTAATTTGGAACACTCTTCATCTCCATTAAGCTAAGCACCACAGAAAAGTCAAGGGACATTTACTACTCAACTGCTTGAAAAGTAAACCAATCCAGAGAGGGATTGGTCCTGAAGAGAATGAATGCTGGCAGCAGAACAAGCAGGAGAGAGGGAAGATTCAATTACATGATTGTGGGTGAAGGAACTACAGAATCCTCCTGAGTGTCATCATTTCCTTGTGCATTTTTGTGCAAGCATATGTCCACAATACAAAACCATAAAAAGTAACTTCAGAATTGATCCTAAAAAAACAGAGTAATTTAATTTCTGATTGATAGAAACAGGCAAGTTTTATTTCAAGGTAAAAAAAAAAAAAGTAAAAGGTGTCCCTGTGTATTTTACTCCGCTAGTTGTTATCAACTATAGGCGGCAGTCCTCATGTCTGTTTCTGTAAGCCATTGAGCCAGCGCTGTCCAAAGACATTTCTGTTACCTTCTCGCCAAAGTGGTACCTATTTATCTACTCACATTTATTTCAACAAGACACCAAAAATACAGAAAAGAAAATTATATTCACAGAATTCTAAGGATATTTAAATTCATTCAACATGATTGCACTTCAATCTTGTTGAATTCAAATATACACAGAAGTGATAATATTCACACAAATGAACACCACCAAGAAATCCAAAATAGTGTGTGTGTGAGTGTGTGTGTGATGGCTAATATTAATAGGGCTGGCATGTTTTGTGGATGCTTTAAAAGATAGCATCAAAACACAAAGATATGGGAATTCGTCATTTTAAAGTATCCTGTTCTGTTTTCATGGTTTTGCTTTAAGAGCTTGCTTTAAAGATGCAGCTGCTTTAATGAATCAACTTGGAAAAAGCTTGAAAAACGTCATATTAAAACAGATCATACTTTTTTCCCCTTTAAAATGACCAAGTAGTTTTCTGAAAAAGGGAAAACCATTCTATCAGTTCCTCATTTTTAGGGCTAACACATTTTTCAGAGTAGACAAGTAAAATGCAGGAATTAAAGTCAATGAAAAATGACTAATACACATAACAAAAGCCCAAAGGCTACACATAGTGCACTCTACCCATGTTCAAATGATGGCTACTTATCCATTCTAAAGTGATGGTTGAAATATACTGGTACTGACACAGTGAATTAGCTAATATTGTTGCTTTAGGCCATGCAGTTTAGATGTTCTTTTCCCCTGAAGAAACTCTGCTGCAAGTCTGTGACTTGATTGTAATAACATGATCTGACTGAGTCAACCATTCCCTTAGCCCTATCCATTGGTAGCATTTAATTACAAGGGAGCATGAACAGCTGGAAGCTGAACAGCTGTCAAATCTTGGAAGCTGAACAGCTGTCAAATCTTGACTTTTGGGGTGGCAGCAAATGAAGAAAGGTGAAAGAAGCACAACAATTTGTGGCAACTGGATTGGGATTAGCAGCACTGTGGATTAAATTGGTTGGTAACATACATATCCCCTTTCTCATCTGCATTCAGTGGAAACAAAGAGAAAAAGTGACAGAGCACCTAAGAGTTCTGCCTTGTCTAGAACTTTCCTTTAGAAGTAGGGAAATAGATGCAACACTTTATTAAACCACTCAGCCCTATTTATACGACACATTAACCAAGGAGATGTAATTTAGCTCTAATCAGCTACCTGGGATTAATTGATGGGTTATAGGTAATATCCTTGACTCAGCTGGATGGAAAACACCCTTGGCCTAGTTGTGTATGTCATATGAATAGACTTGTTTTCAGAGAACCAGCAATGGCCAAGGTATGAAAGATAATAGAAAATTTATTAAATCAAGTTGTGAGTGACTCTTGTTCCTCAATATTCCTTCCTTCTGTTCTCTACAGAATCATATTGTTGGAAGGGATCATTTAGATCCCTGAGTCTTATCCCCAGTTCACTGTGAACCTTTTCTTTCCCTCCCCCATCCAGCTACAGACTGTGCAGTCTCTTAATCTGGACCTCTTTCTGGGAAAGTTCTGTGTTGCCAAATCTTCCCCATTGCTCCTGCAGGTGCACAATCCATCACAACACAATGGTCCTACTGTTGCTGAGTACAGATCTGTTCAGCTAAGGAAAAAGTCTCCTTTCTGACTCTAATAATCTCACAGGGTGGACCACATCTCAGGAAAGTGCCCAAACTTTTCCAGGAGCAGAACAGAGATGGAAGGCAGGGCATAGGGTAAAAAATATTCTAGGTTACATGCTAATTAAGTTGTATCTGGTGCCAGAGTCTATTAGGGTTTGCAACTGTATTGCTGCCTGACTTTGAAGAGTAAAATAAATGACAACATATTTGACTATAGTTACATATGTCTAGGATACATTTGGTACATTTGATGTTAAGACTCATTGTTTGAGTGACACCTTTTCTGACAACCCAGATATGAAATGTTTAGGGTACCTCCTTGCAAAAAAAACCCCCAACCCTCTGATATCCAAACAGTCTGCATTAAATCAAATCTGGGTATCAGTGGAAGACTGAAGAAACTGGCAGAGTAAAAGGAGGAAGGAAAGAAACCACTATTCACTTTTGTCCTTCCCTCTTCTTACATCCTCGCATAAGAGATATCAGAAGTTGAGAATATCTGCTGAATGGGTTTCCTCATTATTACATCTGACAGTCCTTGTTTAAGCTGGTAAATAAAGCCTCTTTTTCATGCCAGGCAATATCCTAAACTAACAGCTGAAAGTCAGTAATATTGCACTGCGTGCTTACCTTATTGGAAGTGAAGGATTTCACAGTTGGTGGTCACTTGCTTGACTAGATCATTAATATTAATCCTCAGGCAGCAAGGCAGATACTTAGTAATGAAGGTTTGTGGCTGCTGCAGCTGCTCTAGCAATGACTGACAGAATTTGGGCCAGGATTGTTAGGGACATTGTGATTGTGATCAATTTTGTTCTACCTAGTAAGTTACCTGGTTTATTTTGGAGTAAACTGATCTATCTGTATCACAAATTGATTCAGGGCACAAGCTCTTTTGTAACACTGAGAATATAGGTAGTAAAATTTTGCTTTCAGACTTCATGCCAAGCATGACAATAAATTTGGTCTTTCCAGACACTATGAAACTCACAGATATGGCAAAATCAGATTTACTGCAGATAAAGTGCAAACCATATACACACAAAATATCCAAACACAGAAACCTCTGTACATATGTTTGCTCCAATGTTTAAATTCTACATCTTTCCCTCCTGCTTTTCAAGGCAATGGCCACTTTTCCATTATCATGGCCTTGAACCCCAGAGACATTTGCTCAAAATTTATATAATAGTTCTTTCTAGCCTGCTGGTTTCTGGCTCACCATTTTCAACATTTATAGCTCTTATCAAGGAGGATAAAGAGAAAATAAGTTCTAATTAAATCCACATTTCCTGTAGTTTTAAATACATTCTAAATTCATAAATAAATAAGTTCTAAATTCATCTATTATTAGTTCCCTTGCCTCTACTTTACTAGTGAATACAATTGATATATTCCCAATGGTAATCAGTTTCCCTGGGAAATAAGACAAGACTTAAGCACAACAGAAGCACAGTAGATGTTCAGTAGAAAAATTTATTCACATATAAGTATTCTGTCTGTTTCAAAAGAAATATCAATCTCCTCAAAGAGTGGGATTGACAGGCTTGGGTACTCCTTGATTTAAGTTATTAAATCTGGTCTGATTACAATTAACATTGCATAAACATCAGTTGTTCATCCAACTGCACTCTTTTTTAGTAGAAATAAAAAAAATCCTCCATAATATTTTACTTCTGGATATGCACTTTTCCTTTCTTTAGAAAAGAACACTTGCTGTTATCAAGCAATATATCTAGATTAGATTAGCAAAATAACAGGTTAGAAAGATATGGTTAACAAAATTAAAGAAAATTATCTGAAAAAGTTTTTCCCCTTTATTTTTAAGAAATATTTTTTTATTTTTCCAATTATTTTTAAGAAATTGGTAGCAAAATCTTTTCCACTAGTTGCAAATTGGAAGGGGCTGGAAATTTTCAGTCCCAGAAAACACTACATATGGTTAAAACCAACATTATTTTATGTACTTACCATGGACTGTAGATACCAAGAGAATTGTGAAGAACAGCAGCAACTGTGATGACCACATGACTGTGGCCCAAAATATAAAATTATTTCAACAGTGGAAGTTCTCAGAAGAAAAATATAATGATTTCTCTCTGATAGTAGTCCTCTCGGGGATATTCACTTTAATCACAATTCAGTGAAGCAGGCGTAGAACAGAACAAACTAGCACTAAAACCACCTTCGACAAATGTCCAAAACTCAAAACCTAGAAATAAAAATAAAAGTTATAGTTAATTTAAAAAGTACAGTAAGTGATGTTATTACGTTCAACATAATCACTGTAACATCCGATTTAAAACTGTATCAAGAGGTTAAGAGTATATTTGGACATTTTGATAATCAAAACAAAAAACATGACAAGGTCAAACAGTATTGTGCTGCTTTCATCATATATATAAATATACTGTATGTTCTAGAGAATCTTGACATTATGGGTTTAAATACTGTACATATGATTTGTTGGAATTACCATAGCTCTTTCACTGAAAGAGATTTGAGAACAGCCAGGAATGAGAGAGATTAAATAGTTGGGAATAGGGTGAGGGAGTAATTAATTTAGGTATATGTGTCCTAAAGTACCTTGAGATAAATTCAGATTCTTAGCAACTATCAATATATTATCCTAATGAGATAAGCCTTAGGAGGATCTCTAAACAGTCAATTCAAAACTGTATCAGTATGGACCAATATTAAATGTCAATTTTAAAACAGTCATCAGATTAAAGCAGTAATTTTATTACTATCTTCTTTATTCTGCATCTATTTATTTCATTGTCTCTCAGACAGCTGTTATAATCAGTCAAGTAAGTACAATTTTACTTCAGATTCTTTTTTTTTATTCAACTGTTATGGCATATGCCATTATAAATTCAGACAGAGGTTATCAGCAGCAGGGTGATTTCATCAGAAAGATCAAGTAAGCATTGCAATGTTCCATCCCTTATGTACAGTGCATTCAGAAAGCATTCAGACCCCTTTCATTTTTGTTAATTTTGTTATGCTGCTGCCTGATTCTACAATTGTTGAAATTCATTTTTTCCTCATTAATCTACACTTAGTACTCCATAGTGACAAAGTTAAAACAGAAGTTTAGAAATGTCTGTAAATTTATTAAAAAAGAAAAAACTGAAATATCACATTGGCATAAGTATTCAGACCCTTTGCAACAACACCTGAAATTTAGCTCAGATGCCTCCCATTTCTCTTGACCATTGCTGTCATGCTTCTATAATCTTGATTGGAGTCCACCTGTGGTAAATTAAATTGATTGGACATGATTTGAAAAGGCACACACTTTTCTATAGAAGGCCTCACAGTTGACAATGCATACTGTAACAGAGCAAAAGCCATGAGGTCAGAGAAACTGCCTGCAGAGCTCAGAAATATGATTATTGCAAGGCACAGATCTGGGGAAGGTTCCTAAGAGCACAGTGGCCTCCATAATTCTCAAATGGAAGATGCTTGGCACAACCAGGACTCTTCCAAGAGCTGGTTGCTGGTCAAAATGAGCAATTGTGGGAGCAGGGGCCTTAGCAAGAGACCAAGAACCTGATGGTCACTCTGACTGAGATCCAGAGATCCTGTGTGGAGATTGGACAGAGTTCTAGAACAGGGTGTCAAACTCACAATATCACGTGACATGTGTTGACGTATTGTGACTTTTTTTCCATTGCCGGCAATGGGGTGGGCACGGTTTTGCCATGATGTATCTGGCCTGCGGGCCAGCAGTTTGACACCCCTATTCTAGAAGGACAACCGTCACTGCAGCCATCCACCGATCTGGGCTTTATGGCAGAGTGGCTAGATGAAAGCCTCTCCTCAGTGCAAAAAAGCACCCAAAGGACTCTCACACTGTGAACAACAAGATTCTCTGATGTCATGAAACCAAGATTAAACTGTTTGGCCTCAGTTCTAAACATTATGTCTGGAGGAAACCAGGCACCGCTCATCACCTGCCCAATATCATCCTAACAGTGAAGCATGGTGGTGGCAGCATCATGCTGTGGGGGTGTTTTTCAGCAGCAGGGACTTGGGAGACTGGTCAGGGTTGAGGGAAAGCTGAATAGAGCAAAATACAAGGATATCTTCAATGAAAACTTGTTCCACAGTGCTCAGGACCTCAGACTGGGCCGAAGGTTTACTTTCCAATGTGACAATAACCCTAAACACACATCGAAGACAAGCCAAGAGTGGCTTAGGGACAACTCTGTGAATGCCCTAAAGTGGCCCAGCCAGAGCCCTAGCTTATACCAATGTGATATTTCTGTTTTTTCATTTTAATAAATTTACAAGCAATTCTAAAATTCTGTTTTCGCTTTGTCATTATGGAGTACTGAGTGGAGATTAATGAGGGAAAAAAAGAATTTCAACAGCTGTAGAACCAGGCTGCAGCATAACAAAATTGACAAAAGTGAAGGGGGTCTGAATACTTTCTGAATGCACCATATATGTGTACAATGTTGTAATGCATGTATCAAAGGTGTGGAGTTTGCATCATGAAATCACAATAGTTTCATCACTTGCCTCTCAGTGTTACAACTGGCATCTTCTACTAGGCAATGGTGAGGTCACATAATCAGAAGTGGCATGAAATACTGATTAAACTCTTTCACTCATAATGATGAAATGTGCTTTTGTGGATGGAAATTTCAATAATTTAATAACGTATTGGAAGATTTTGAAAATTATGGAGAAAAAGCACAGTCACAATAAAAAATGTTATTACTGCAGTTTTACTGCATAGGAAAACCATGCATGTACATTAAATGAAAATGAGAAAGAGGTGTACAAGGAAATAAGATACTAGAAATCTTTTGAAGTACAGTACATTGTTGCTATAACTAAACGTTTTCCAGAAAGTCTTCCAATCTTTTATTAAAATTCTACAATAAAAGTTATTTTGGATTTGTGGGATTTGTTGCCCAGTTTGAGAATATAGAACTTAAGGAAAGAGCTATGTTTCACATTTTTATTCATAGATATGAGATAAATTCATTGAGTAATGGGGAAATAGGTTTGAATGAAAACACTTCAGGTCATACAGTAGGCATCTGCAGTTAGCCTCAGTAATGTCAAATTGTCAGAATATATGCCATGACTTGATGTCTGTGCCTTTTTGTACTTTTGTCATGACATCATACTCAAGTTTGTATAGGGCAGTTTGGTCCATGATGCATGTTTGTTATTTGCCTCCTTTGTGGGGATACCCATATTCAGAATTTTTTTTTTAAGCGCAGTGTTTTTCTCCTTTTGTTGATTTTATACCAGTCATTTTTATATAGAACACTGATGTTTTGTTTTTCAATACTGCCTCAATGAAGACATAAAGCAGTGATTTTTGGTTTTTTTTTGATAATTGATAACCACACCAGAATAAACCTATGGGATATTATCACTAGCATTCTTCAAAAATATGTACTTGATTTCAATAATTTTAAAGAACAGACATGATAATGGGCAGTAAAAAAACAACATCATCAAAAACAACAAAATACTGCATGAATAACCAATCAAGTCAGTCTTGATCCCTGGTGACTACATTCTTGGGAGCTGTTTGCCATTGCCTGCTTCCTAGGGCCAGAGAGAGGGACTGGCCAAAGGTCACCCATCTGGCTTTATGTCTAAGGTGTGACAAGAACCAGGTGCCTCAGTTTCTAGACTGGTGTCTTAACCACTACACCACTCTGTTTCTCCTTCTAAGCCTTTATCTACTTTTTATTCAGCAGCTATGCACAGTGGACCGTAATTCAGAACTACTGTATATTCTATCCTTGGTAGTGAATTTTTTTTAAAATACCCTACAGATCACTTTCAAAAGCTTGTCATGATCAAGCTGAGATGATGGCACACAAGTATTTGCTTTCTCTTATGACTTTGGAATTCTTGATGAAGGTTGTAAAAGATTCCAAAAGAAAGATAACTTGTGTAGTTAGAAGCTGACACTTTAATTAAAAAATATCTCTCAAACATTTGAAATTACTATTATGACAATATTCTGGCATAAAGTCCTATACAAATTTGGCTGTGGCAGCAAAATCCTACAAAAACTAGGCCTTGATGTTATGTCAAGAAAAGAATTGCTTTCTTCTCTTGTCACTTTTGTTCATAATATCTGTAACAGCTTTGAAAAAAAAATGACAAAAAAGCAAAGAAAATTATTCCCCATATGGGAATCTCATATTCAGATAAAAGATCAACAGCAGAGACACAAATCAATTTTCCCAGATAGAAAATATCACTGCAGGCTAAGTAGAAGAGACATGTTCAGGATGGAAATGTATAACATTAGAAAAACTTTTAAGTTGTGAAACTATCTGTTTTCCCGGCGAGGCTGGCCCAGGTTTCCCAAACTCAGGATCCTATAAGAAAGAAATGTTGATGCTCTTGTGACAGCTCTAATCCAACAGAACTTCAAATTTCTCTTGTATGAGAATGAAAACTTTTCATTTTCTTCCTAAATATGATGCAGATGAATGAGATAGTTCTAAGACCACACATAATAGGAAGATAATTTACAAAATAAGGAACTGATTAGTTTTTCCAAATGTTGGAATAGCTTTTCACCTTCTTCTAATTTGGTCCCTTTTAAACTATGAAAGAGAAAGAGCTGTCTGCACACTATCCCTGATTAAAAATAAATTATAGTCTCCAACACTGCAGCCAAGACTCTCATCTATTATCTGATCTCTCTACATAATGGGATCTTCTGAGAGAAATGTTATTTGATGACTTTACATCCAAATTTCCTGAGAAGAAAAATTAGAAAAGGAAGCTATAATTTTTAAAATAATCTGAATAAAGAAAAAAATGGGCGGTGCACAAAAATGTATTATATTAATCATGGCAATATAATAATGTTCATGGTTAACAATGTTCCTGTGTAATTATCAGCTTTTTAATCACAATATCTGGGAAAATCATAGGCTTACAGCAAGCAAATTAAAATGTTTGGAGCAATTGGGAAATTTGGAGGACTATTTAAATATTAAAATAGTTGCTGTAACAGTGTAGGCTTTTCGGAATCATCCTAAAAATGTCAG